CGCCTTTCTGGCTGTATGTTACTTCCTGGTCCTGACCTGAGTGATGTCCTAATTTTTGCTTCAAAGAATTCCGTTCCCCCAAGAACTTGAGAAAATGACTCCGCATCTGTTTGAGGCGGAAGGGCCTGCGCTCCTACCTGCCGAGACATTCAGGCGGGACTACCTAGAGTTTTTTTTCAGTGCGGGGGCCCTTCCAGGGTGGCCTGCTTTTGCTTCTCCGTGATCTTGCTTTGGCTGGCCTGTGTCAAGGTTGCTTCCAGGTCGAGGCCTGCCAGGCCAAGGTGCCCGGAATTGCCCGGAATGCCCCGAGTTCTTCTGTTGTCATCGGTCTTCCTGAAATGTGAGAACATTTGAGCTCTGAGGCTTCTAAGAGCTGGCAGGGCTTTGAAACCTGGTTTGTGAGACTGAAAAGTTGGGCCTATTGTGGGATCCTTTGAATGAAATGGCCCGAATTCACAGAGCCTTGTTGTAAAGGTTGGGTGGGACTGTGATATGCTTTTGCCAGGAGTTTAAGATTGCTCTGGACCACGCCCCCAAGGATTTGAGCAAGGAATTGCAAAATGCTACACAGAAACCGCTTGGCGTGTTCACCTTTCTACAGCATTAGCATGATGGTAAGGTAAGAACATATGTTTTCAGCAGCAATCCACCAAATCTCACAATTCTCGATGAAGATAGAACTTAGGTTTCGAATCCCCTGAACTGGCAGAAGCAAAGCACTTTGCATCTCAACTTGGGTGATGGACAGGTTAAAGCTGCGGCAGACAAGGCGTCCATGTTAGCTGCCTTCAAAAACCTTCAGGCTGGGCGAAGTCTGAGACTTTCTGAAGAACTCCGTGCACAACTTTCCACTTCAACGCGAGAAGCAAATGGTATCTGGATAATGCATTCTGCCCAGACTGCTTGCAAGCCGCCAGAGTATCGCATGCGGTTCCTTCCTGCAAGGTGGAGTGCCTATCCTTAGTGGCCTCTGCAGTTTATTCGCTTCATGCTTGACTCTTAGCTTTCAAGCATGCGCACACTATTGTGTGGTGTTAGCCTGTCCTGTGTCGCTTGAGATCTAGCTCAGGTCATCCTGCTGCTACACCGTGTGCAATTCAATCTGGCCGGCCGTGAGGCGCCCCCGACCTGAGACCAGAAACGTCAGCGCCTGTTCGACGAGCTCACCAACATGCTCCACAATTTCAATGTTTAGATCTCACCAGCTGAGGGTTTAGACAAGGTTGTCTTAAAGCTTTTACGCAGAGGGCTCTGCATCGACCATAGCCCCAGAGCGCCACGTGAGCCAGTGTGCGGAAGGTGGCAGTGCTGCCACTGCAGGAAAGTCGTGGGCCTAGTTTCGCCCACGTCCAGCCCTGTGTTGATGAGCGATTGCTGGATGATTTCGCCCTTTGCTCCCCAACCTATCATGGTGACACTTGCCCATGGTCGCTTCGGCGTCATTGGTAGCATGCTTTTCCTCAAGACTGGCTTTTCATTGCAGACGACAAGCTGAGCCCGAAGCCATACCCAAGGCCGGAATGGTTCTGACAAGGCTTCCAAGGCCGAGCACGGGAAGTGCTCTGAGCAGCCGAAGACATACGCACACAAGTTGATTTGCTAATGCTAATGCAAGCAAGTGTCCAGTCAGTTATAGTGACTCTCATCAGGGACCTCATTCTTACGAGGGGGGCCAGGGTTTTCCGCAGCAATCAAGTGCGAACATGCAGTACGACGAAGAAACGAGGGCTCACGTGAATTTACCGCAGGTGAATGGCGATGAAGATGCATCTTCCATACAGGAGCCAGCTGCCAAGATCTTTGCAGGGTCTAAAAACCAACTGAGGAGACATCTTGAACTGCCCCTTCTTGAGCTCTTTACTCAGGGTCTAGGTGTAAGACGGGAAAGCTTTGGAAATGTCCCAGGCGCGGTGAAGGAATACATTCACTTACGACAATTGCAAAAGTAGGATCCGCAGCTTTTTCGACAAATTAAGAAAACTGGACTCCAAACCTGAAGTTAAAACAACTAGAAGCTGAGGTAAAACTTCGGAAAACAAAACAGCACAATTTTACCTCTGTATTTCCAACTTCCCTATTGTCCTAGTTGTGTCCGAATCTTTTTCTACTTATCTTGTATTTGATTTTATTTCGTTTTTCTTCTGACTTACCTAATTCTTTAATGTTTTTGATTGATTTTTCCGGTAGTTTCTTTTGTTTGTTCCCAAATTGTCCTAATGGCTCATATTTCCTAACATTTCCTAATTTTTCACGTTTTTGAATTCCCAATTTGTCCTGACTTTCACTTTTATTCTTCATGTTCTGATTGTTTTTCATTTTGTTCACCGTTTTCTCTGATTTCCAAGTTTTTGGTGTTGTCTGTCTTTTCCTAATTTTACGACATCCTGCGATTTTCCTGTTTTTCCGCTTTCCCTTTTTGGCCTAGTTTTCCTGTTTCTGTTTGTGATGCTTTTTTCTTTGTGCTTTAGTTTTCTTGTGTGTCCAAGATGCATTTCCTTCGTTTGGTTTGTATTCTTTGCTATGTCCAGATCCTGAATTTCCCTACCTTCTTCATGTGTTTTTTTTTTACATAAATCTTGAATCTCTTGACATTTCCATATACAATAATCGTTTACAGGAACGTTTAGCACGCTTGATGGGCAACACCTCGAGAAGGATGACATGGACAGGTTGGACTTGGTGAGATGAGTTCGAAACTGCTTGATTGATAAATCAGTGTCCAGGTCAAGCAACCGTGGATCAGCAGGGGTGTCAGTGATCCAGTTGGAAACAACATATGAGGTTGATCGATTCGACGGAGTACTTCCTTGAAAAGGGCCCGGCTATGATATCAGCAGCTGCACGGAAGGCAGTACAGGCCGGTGTCAGGACTCTCGCCACCTAGACGGAGACCTTTGGACACTGATTCCGCTTGGAAGGCCGCTGTTGCCGCTGCAACGCTTCTGCCGGAAACGCCGGTTGCTGACTCAGAGTGCAAGCTTGAGTAGAAGCGAACAGAGACCCTGTAAGACTGCAAGAGAAGATGCACGGCCAGGTCAGCTCAGACAGCCTGTCCGCATTCTTCAAGCAGGTCTTTGACAAGATGGAAGAGGAAGAGGGATTGGGGGGCGGCGCAGCCAGAGCTTGCGTTGGGGTAGCCTGCATGGTTGTCTTACACACGCTAGCGGCCCAGAGTCGTAAGAGGCTTCCAAACCAAAAGGCCGCCCCAGCATGCCTGACACACCTGTCACAGCTGTAGATGTCTTGTGGTTGTATATTGGTCTAAATTTCACAAGAAATCTTTGCTTTATGCTTCATGAACATCCTTTTGGAGGGTGCTCCTTGAGAAGTCAAATTGAAGCTCGCGTTGCAGGAGATCTGGTCTGGCTCCAAGGCTGGATCGGACACCTCGGCACACCATGTGGTGAAATGCTACAAACACACAAGTCCAACAATACCACTATACTACTAGTTCCATGCATCGGATAGTTCGTTTGTTTTCCAGAACAGCACTGGACGCAGCTATGCAACACGAGTTTCCTAGTGCCAGGGTCGGGCAGGATTCTTAGGCTGGTATTGTTGCCAATGAATTGCAATAATGTCACGAAGGCGACATCGAGAGCAAAATCGGAAGGTGATGACGCCATGAGTCAGCTGACTGCGTCATCATAGTTGTCAGTCGGCAGACTACTATCACTCAATCTTTGCGTCGAGGGCTCGGCACTGCTGCCGCCCGAGGGGGCTGGAAGCGCCCAGTCAGCGCAGGCGCGGGATGCATGCAGCTGACGTTCATGCTGGGGTGCGGTATTACTTTCGTTAGTTTTTTTTCTCGTTTTCTGACCGATGCAAGTAGCATTTGTGCATTTTCATCATGATTCGTGATAACTGTTGGATCTGTGAGTGGTCATGATCATCTCGGGGAATGTAGCGTACGTTTGTACATGCTCATTCTGACTGTCACTTTAATGCATTCCCCTAAGGTGCTTGACCGAGAGAGTGTGCATGATGATGATGATGATGATGCTGATGATGTTGGGCACGACGTGACTGGAACATTGTCAGCCTCCAATTGTAGCATTTCAAACTCGGCAAGCCGTTCGCAAAGCACAATCGCTCCTGCTGTCCTTCTCACAGCTGTCTGGCTTCTGGTGGGTATCCCATGTTTCGCTGAGAAGGTAGGTGGAGTCCGGGGTTCCGGGGTCATTGCCTTGCAGGTATGGGGCGTCAATCTCCGCAGAATTGTGGATTGTCCAGTTGATGGATGTTGGCTAGCCTCCGCAAAATTGCGCCAAACCAGTGCTAGGACACTACGAGGCAGTCCCGCCTGAGGGTATGGAATCATGGTATGGTTGCTCTGCCAGACTGGAGCCTTTAAGTTCTTGAGTTCTCCAAGTTGCGGTAGTTCCGGGTGGACTTGGCCATGACTTCTGAGCTGCTCGGCACCCTTGGAACGCGACGCTCCACGGTTGATCGGTGAGGGCCCAAGACCCTGCGTCGGTAAAGGACAGCTCTATATGTTGAGGCACCAAGCCTTTGGTAGCCTTGTAGCTTCAGCTGGGAGATGCTGGGTATAGCTGCGAAGGAGTCAATGTGCAATTCCATCCTGGCAAAAGGTGTGGTCAGACCTGGGAGTCTCAACCCAAGGAGTCGGAGGCTGATGTTGGTGTCTCAGTCTTTCAGTGTGAGCTGATGTTGGCCAACTGCAGGTGAAGCATTTGCTACTCATACTGGCTTGTCTGAGGCCAAGAGTCTTCCTGGCGTCAAATTTGGAGCGACTCCCAGTGTTGCAGACTGGTTGAGGCGTGCAGCGATAGCCATGTTGAAGGTATGAATGATTTTTGGTCTTTCCTCTTCCTGTTGACATACAGGTCACGTACCTTTGGATGAAGAAGAAGCACTTGGCACTCTCTATCAACCACAGCACACGCGGAACCTGAGGATGAAACGGGACCCCCTTTCAATACTTTTCAGGCTCAGACTCTGCAATCAAATCAGTCCTGGGCAGGCAGAAAGCCCAGGAAATGCCGGAAGAGGATCTGGCTCGTGAAGAGTCTTGCCCCAAGATACTGGGGCCATGATTTTGCAACGGGTAGGCACGGTCATCCTGTTGAAGCTCTTGCGCTTTTTTGTCGTGAAAGTACACACTTCCAGGCTTCTCGAGGCGCTGCGCAAGTCCCTGGACGACAGAGGAGCTGGGCCCTTGCGTGCCGCTGCTCCGTTATGTCAGGAACCTACAGCAACGCGAAGTTTCGGGGTTGGAGGCTTTTAGCTGGCTTTTTGCTTCCGTTTCATTCCGACGATCAACCAGGGGGAGGTTGAGTTTGTGGCTAGTTTAACTGTACCTTGTGTTACCGTTATGCAAACGAGCCAGCTTCCACCTGAGTATCCTGAGCTGCCCAGGCGACGAGCTGAAGCAGCTTCGGGAGGTGTCCTCGCGTCATGGCCTTAAAGCCACACTCCCTCAGTATGTGCTCAGTACGTGCTGTAAGCATCTGTAAGCTGCGAAGGGCCGTTGGAGTCTGTCGTTGTAAAATGCCAGGCTTGGCGCAGCTGCAGCATGAGCCCCAAGGTTGCAGCTTATCAGGGCAGAGGCTTTGCACGGACCGCAGCTCGTGGATTGTGTCACATGTTATATTGGTTGGGAAAGACCGCCCATCAAAGGATGCTGGCACAGCAGGATAGCTTGGGAGCGCAGCGCGAGGACTCCTTCGCATTTTTTGTCTTTTTGCTTTTTGCTTTCAGACCTTGCAACATTCTTTTACCAATCCAGGAGCTTGCTCGTCGAGAAGCTGAACTGAAGGCGCAGACAGGTGAAGTAGGTCCTATGGCCCCATGAGTGACCTTAGAGAGAGGTTCAGCAGTTGGAGCTTGAGAAGCAGCGGCGGCAATCGTCTTGCGATATCTCTGGGTCCGCGGGGCATGCTTTGCCAGGAACTTCCTTGTAGATATTAGATATCTGCTGCATCTTCAGGAGCTACCCTATCCCGCCGTGGTTGGCAAGAAATTCAGATGGCACAATGACACTCAGCTGCCTGACAAGAGGTGATGCTTGGCGTGGCTGGTTCCATGCCCTATGAACTTCACCTAGCAGCCCAAACGCCTGTTCTCACATATTGTGTACTGTAGGAACGTGGCCGTGGTTGGAAATTCCGGGGCCGGTCACACAGCCTTGAGGCATATTCCCTGGTTGCGCGCTTGGGAGCTGAAGGTGGGCAAGTCGCTACTCATCAACAAGATGCGCCGAATCAGACCTGGTACGGCCGAATGGGCCCCTACAGGAGTCAAGGAGACCACACTTCGCCACTGCCTTTGTTAAAGTGATGTTGTGGTCATGGTGGCTTTTTTTTGTGGAAATCCTGTCGTACCAGTTCAACAGTTCAACGGTTGTCATACATTCATGTATAGTTACGTTCGTACTGTGTCGGTTCACGCAAGTTGGCAACACAGTGCCGCATATCGTGTTTAGCCAGATTGGAGGCTTTAGATGTATCACTGCGCTGCGTACGACACCAGCTGAGGCCCCATGGCCTACGCCTTCCCGCAGCTTGAGAAGGTCCGGCTGCTGGATGCCAAGGTCCTGCTTGGACAATCAGTGGTGATGTGTCCGCACGAGCAAGATGCATGGGACAAGAATCAGGCGCAGAGCAAGAGCAGCGTTTAGCCATCTAACCCTTTTTGAGTGATTTTTTTTGGAGAGCAATCTAACATAGCTGAGCAAGTCAGTAGCCGGTGGTTCGGTTGGCAGGCTGGTGACATGTGATTTGAATCTGACGCTAAGGTGGGATCTGCCGGGTGCAGGGACACCAGGTTTCCCCAAGGACAGTGCAAGTAGCCAGCGGCCTTGTCTGGCCTTGGTGCATCTATCTAATTAGTCATGAGAGATGCATATGAACGCTGCTCAAGGCCAAGTAATTACATTGGCGCGCAGGCTGCAACCTGTTTTCTCCAGGAATGGCAGAAGCAACAGATGAAATGTGGGAGACTCTGAGCCTGCACGCGTGATGAAACCTGCATCTTGGAAGGACAGCTACATTCGGGACATGGGTCTGCGGTACTTCGACTCGGTACTGTGCCTTAGAGACAATTTGGGTCCAGCAAAGCTGATTGTAGGCTTACTGCAAAAAGCCGAAAAGTGGTGGAAGTGGTTGAAGTATCTATTGCATACCTTGCCCAGGATTGTCACAGCTGGTCGCTTCACCTCCATTGACGAAGTGTTGCGCACGGAGCTTGAAGACTGTGGCGTGCCCTGGCTGCAGACCTACATTGCCTAACAAAGTTGCCTGGTACGCTTATCGTCTTGCCTTGTGACAGCACCCGGCATTTCAGCTGGGCAGAAACAGTTCGTCATCGTCGTTCTCGCCGTCGTCGTTTTCGTCATGGTGGTCGTTGTCGTGGTCGTTGCAGGTGCCATACTTCATGGCCACCTCCCCGGAACTTTGCACTCTTTCGGGAATTGCTTTGCTCCGCGCGTGCGCGATGTCACTCAGAGGTCCGTACCAAAGTCGACCTCGACATTTGGAACAATAGGGAGGACAATCAGATTGAGGAGGCCTGCACTGGACTCCGGAAGCATAGAGGCCTCAGACGAGAATGGTCCTTTGAGGCTGCAACAATGGAGAGCATCCGCCAAGAGCTCTACCGACTGCATGGAGCCAGCACCTCGTAGATCACGCAAATCTCGTAGCCTGAGAGCTAAGACGAGTGCAGAGTTGTGATTTTATTCAGTGGAAGCTGCTGGTGAGGTGGACCGCCTGTACCTGGTGTCCTCCAGAGAGCCGGACCGCCTTTCGGCAAGCTACGGATTGTAGAAAGTGACCTGGGAGTCCTGGGACTGGGGATCGCATAGCCTGAGCCTGAGGCTATGATATGCCAGCTCTGCTGGCAGATGCTTTTCCTGGCGTGAGGGCGCGCCTCGAAGCCACTAGCTTCCTCTTCACAGGCCAGCAGATTCAGAAGAGGTCCAGATGGCATTCCGCAGCGTTTTGGGCCTCATTGCGATACAGATGTTCAATCCAGCGAACAAATCAGGATTCAATTAATTCCTTCTCCAGAGACTGCAAAAGGTGGCAAAGGCGAGTTCGGAGACTGCTGGTCGATGCCGGTGTTATGGCCGGAAGCCTGGATACCATGACATGTTCAAACGGTCCTCAACTTACCTGAAGGTCATCTACGGTGGCAGGCGGAAGCCAGCTGGCATTGTGTGAGCGATTTTTTGGCTTGCTGGCCTCCTGAACTTGACGTTGCACAGGTGTCCAGGGGCAGTGGCAAGATGCCTTAGAGAACTTGCCTGCAGCCTCAGACAACATGCAGTCATCACGTGCGGGCATGTAAGCGTTGCTACTTGCAGCTGATGCCGCTGTTGAGAGCATGTGGTGGAAGGTTGTACATAGTCGATGGCACAGACGTGCACATCACCCGCGACGATGGCCAGACTGCCATCATCCAGCTTAACGAGATCGATGATAAGGAGAGGAGGGATAGCATGAATCTGCAATGCTTTCTCAGGCTTCTTCGAAGAATCTTATGCTGCTTGGGACTTGTCACCTAGACAACAGCGCAAGCGTCAGGTGTGGTTCCAGGACCGTTGGTACATTGACCTAGCGCCCAGCGCTTATGAAGTGCCATATGAGCGTGAGTTCCGGTTGTCTCAGACTGTCAGAGGAAAAGGGTTTTACTTCTGTCCGAAGTTTGATTCTTCTCATAGTGTCATAGGCACCTTGATCTGGACATGTCCAGGACATGGGTGGGCGTTTAGGCAAGCGCCAGCTGCACGAAAGTCTTGGGCTTTTTTCATTCTTGCATTCTGAAGACTTTTTGGCTTAATCTGGAAGACCTGACTTCACCCTCTGCTGGCGTCTTTTGCCAAGGTCAGTCGGGAAAGCTCGTGAAGCATCAGAGCTTCGTTGGATTCCGGGGGACGCTCGGCACTTTTTGGTCTGCTCCCACGCTGAATACCTTACCGATGACAACTATGCCTTGCAATTGATCACAGATTTTAGCCCTTCGAGGCACTGTGGGTTAGTTCCCAGCAAGAATGTGTTGGAAACAGGCTAGATGAAAGGCGATGGGGAACTAGAAGCGGAGTGATGGACTGAGGATCCATGTCGTGTGCAGCAACCCAGGACCTTACTGACAAGCCGCGGGTTTGGCGCTGGTGTGGATGAGCTGAGCTGACAAGAGGTCATTCTTCACACAAGTCCGGACTAAGTGCATGTAGTCGCGCAGTACAACCAGTACCTGTGTAAGCTTTCTTGCTGGTTTGCAATTGGGTTCTACTAAATTGACTCCGAAATACGTGTCATGCAAAATAACCCAGGGCTCACCTGAACGGGCGTGGCGCTCTCTGTACAGTTGCCGCCTGTTTCTCAGCTACCTTGCGATCCTCGTGGCTGCACTTTCGCATGAACTTCGGTTACTGTTTAATCTACTATACTAATCGACTACAATACACTACTATATACTATAATGTATTTTAAGAATATACTATAATATATTCTAATTTATTGTAATATACTATAATATGCTTTTATATACTATTATAATATACTACTAGCGTAGGGAGACCGGGTTTGTTGTTGTGGCGGAGCCTGTTTACGACGTTCACATTCCTCTAGGAGGATGCAAACGTTTTCTCCAAAGAGCCGGGGATCCTGCACACAAGCTGCAGAGTGTTGCAAGACTGGTAGAGTCTGCTGGTCTGAGAATTGTTTGCAGAATCAGGTGAGAATTCTTTCGGTAAAGTGGCTGCTTGCATTTCGCTTCCAGTTTGCTGGCGTCGTGACTGCGCAAACACAAAATGTTGAAAATGGCTTTCTGGCCTTGTACATAGACAAAGTCTACGGATGGTCTTGCAGATGAGACCCGCTGAGACAAAACAGTTTTTTGTCCCAGGCGTCTGGCCGTTTGTGTGGAGTGGAGATCCTATAAGACTAATGGTTGTAAGAAGATATAGGTCCCTACACCCTGGATGCAGGTGAAGCAGCTGTTAGACGAAGCACGGGATTACTTGGAAAGCCCGCATGCGCTCCAAGCATTCAGGCAGGCGGCTTACATAGTGCAGTGTTGGAGTTCGCCCAAAATTTTCAACCAAGTCCTGTAAACATCGAACAAGGTCAGGGGTACCACGATACTACAAACATCCTCCTCCCTTGCGAAGGTCAACCATCTCCTCCGCTGCTGATCGGATGCCCGAGCAGCTGGCCGCATTTGGGGGCAAGGCAGGGGCTTTTAATGGGGCTCGTGATCTGGGAGTTCAAATTGTTTAGACTTCAGACTTCAAGGTGTTGTTCAAACAGAGTTTTGTCACCATGCTTCCTTTTGCTTTGAGATGGTTGGGATGCTTGGGACTGGTTGGGCTCATTGCATGCAGCTCCCTAAGCGATTCTGCAGGGCAACCTTCAACTGTAAACCGCTGGGCTGCTGGAGTGACTCCCTGCATCTACCTGCTGAAGCAGCACATAGGTGGAGTTTAGGCCTTCCAAACTGAGTCCACATGAGGCAGCCAGAGGTTTTTGGGCTCAGGGCAGCTTTGTGGGGGGGGGGAGCAAGCCTGTTCCAAGCAGTCTGCCTTTGCAGAAGTTGCGCTGCCAATCTTTCGTCATTACCGATTGTGTCCTTGTCATCATCTAGGTACGTTGCATGCCAGGCAAGCTGCAAGCAATTATGACAACGAATGCCTGTTGACAGCCTGAACAGGCATCCGCTCTGAAGGCCAGCCAGATGTTTGCAGAGATGTGCAAATGGGCCAGGCTTTTCTTGCCTCGTGTCTGTATTCCGTTTAACTGCGCATGGGCGGAGGGAAGTGTGATGGCAGGATTAGCCTGACATCTGCAATTCCTTTGCTTGCCGTGTATTCGGCCTGTCGGGTACACTCCAGCGAAGTTATCATTTCGCTTGGCTCAGTTCCAGATGCGCATGCATTTCCCCCAGAGTACAGCTGCAGAACGCGGTGCCATTTTACACTTCACACCTACCGCCATTGAAAAAACTCAGCCAGTCTCACCGTCACTCGCAGCATGCTGTGATTTGACAAGTGTGGCCGCAGGACAGCTCTGTTCTCTTAGCGGTGCTCTTCGGAAGCTGCGTCTCCCTTGCCACCTCGCTGCTTACAGATGCCGCTGCCCCATTTCAGAGTGAACTGACTGCCGTCCTGAGGATCAAGAGCACGTGGAGTTTCTGCTGGTCACTCTAGTGCCTAACTTGGAGCCAAGGCAGACGGGAATGGGAACGAAAGCCCTGCGGAGGCTTGTCAGAGGAACCGGGGTGCCTGACAGTAGACATTCAAAATTGTGCCACTTGCCTGGAGGTGACAATCAGATCGTTTGCAGACCAAGCTGCCTCGACCCCAGTGGAAGCAAGGCGAGGGAGTTGGACCATGTTGGACCTGCACTCGGCCGAGGTCGTCACGCAGTTTTGCGAAGTCCTTTACTTCCAGGAGCCCACCACGAAGAAGTGAGCTGTGACTTGTGTGCAGGAGTCAGCTCCGGAGGGCTTCAGCCTTCAGCTCATCTAGCCAAGAGCATTAAGCGGAGAGCAGCATCCCATGAAGCCAGCACAGCGTACAGACCACTTGCTCGGAGCATAGCATTCCGCAGTTGCCGTCCTCAACTTTTTAATCTTGGCAGGCAGGAGTCGTCTGTGAGAGTAATCGCAAAGGTACTACTGGCGTGTAAGCTTGGCATGCCTGCCGCAGCCAAGCAGCCAAGCAGCCAATCCAACGATATTGCGCTCACAGCACTCCAAGATGCTCTAGATGCTTGGTTTTGAGCTTGTGATGGAGGTGCTCTGTGAGATGCTGCTGCTAGCTGCTAGAGCAAGAATGCGGAGACTGCGCAGTGTGAAAATCTTCCAAAGTTTTGGGGGAATTACTGTACACCCAGCAAACATGTGCAGCGGAAGCAGGTGAGCAGCCAGGAGGGCAGTGAGAAGATAGGAAGCCTGCGCATCCTGCGCTCAGGTGGTAGTCTTCACGGCCTCGGCTGCTATCTATGCCGACAAAGTGCTGGACTTCCTAGATCCAGGCTCTGTTTGCTCTGGGTTCCTGTCTAGCTTACTCGTTCTGAGTAGGGACTTCAAGAACATGTCATGTAGGGGTTACATAGGGACTATGTTCCCTCATTTCTTACTGAGAACCAGTAAACTAAGCTCATCCTGAGGAGATGTGCTTTTTTGGCGCCCATGTCAGGTCGGGTTCTCATAGCTCACCGCTTGTACAGAGAGGCCAGGGCACGCTGAATTCCAATGTCGAGGTGTTTTTCTGCCCAACCCCAGAAAGGATGCTTGCTTACGAGTTTCTTGTATTCATATTCCTTTTGTCTCATCTAGCCGTGCTGGCAGAAGTAGAGTAGTACCTTTAATTGAAGTTTGCAGTTCTCAACCTTCCTTGATGAAAACCTTCTTCCAGTTGATCCCTCAGATGTGGAACATATGTTCTTGAGATCTGCGCCTGTCACCTGAGCACACCGAAGCTTCTACGCTCGGACCCAGAAAGCCCGTTGCAAAAAAAGTAGTACGGTGGTGGTGGTGGTGGTGGTGGTGGTGGTGGTGGTGGTGGTGGTGGTGGTGATGGCGGCGGCGGCGGCGGCGGCGGTGGTGGTGGTGGTGGTGGTGGAAGCAGAAGTAAAGGTACTTGGCTTTCGGCCGCCGCCGCCGCGGCTCATGCAATATGTTTCGTTGTTGCAGGCTTGCACCGAGATTGCGGGCGGCCACTTCAAGGACGCAAGCACCTCCTTGCTGATCTTGAATTATCTATGCCCAGTGCGCACTGTGTGAAGGAATCTGAGCGGAGATTGTTAGTAGGCATCCCTCGTTGATTTTTATGTCAGGCTGGAATTATGCAGCAGTTGCGCACGACGGGGGTTTGCTGGCTTCTGCGCGTCTTTTTGACGCATTCTTCTCAAGCATGGCCTGAAGCCAACGCCCATGGCACAGTCAAACATGTGACACCTTGCACAGGACCTTCGAAAGCTGGGGAGGCCCATGAAGGCTGGACTCTGACGTTGCTAGGTGAGGCATGCACTGCTCCAAATCTGCCGAATGAGAGCATTCTTTTCTTCAGAGCCCTGCTCTCTTACAACGTAGATGCTGAGAATGCCTGCTGCGCACCATCATTTGCGATACAGGTATGTTCCAGCACCTGTGCCTTGCAAACTGTTGTTGCAATCGCCTACTTGTACTAATCAAGCAGCGAGGGTCACCCTTTCACAGGGGCTCTCAAATGTCCTTGTTGCTACCAGTCTTCAAGCAGGACGCAAACAAGAGCAAGAAATGCGTTCAGTCATACGCCTGAAGGGCCGTAAGCAGATTCACCATCACCTCATATATTCCAATCTGGTCTTGCAAGGATGTGGTGCTGGTAGACAATTCGCCCCTAGCCCCGGGACTGGTTCCTGAGAATGGGCTTCTGGCCGAGTCCCAAGTGGTTAAGGACGAGAGTTCCGCACCTGCATGCGCCTAGAAAGTAATTCCAAGTTTAGGAGTTTTGCGGGTAGGCCTGGGATTTTTGCTTAAAGGTTGTGGCAGGTACTAGTTTGGAATTTGGAATGCATACAGTTGAGGGAGCGATTTCAGGTGGAGAAGTCCATAAGACGAGTGTGAAATTCGTTCTGGAACAGTTACAGTATCAGAATCAAGTTGTGATCGTTGAGCAGCTTTGAGCATCCAAGCACCTGTGAGGTGTCGAGCTGGTACGGTGACGACTGGCAGGAGCATGCAGCGATATGCAGGGACGACATAGGCAGTCATTATAATCCGATACATTATCCTCGTCCTCCCTAAATCAGCAGGGCTAGATGTCCAACATGCGCAACCAACCTTGAGGTGATTTCTTCCCATTGTGTTGTGGATCGTGGCTCCCAGAGATGTCAAAATACATGCCAAACAGGCAGTAGCCAACAAACTGCTCAACTGATCCTCACAGGCACACTCATGCTTGACCTCGCGGCACAAGTTAGCAGAAAGCCTTGCACGCGTCATGGTTGATGGCCCTCCCAGGCCGCGCTCATCTCCTGCAGGCCGCCCAGGGAACAGGTCGGCTGCAATTCCTGGAGCCGCGGGCATTTGCTGAGGAGTGGGGATGGTCATTGCGCTGCATTGAAGTCTATTTAAACGGAGCATGCGGTTGTCAGCCCACGAAGGAGCTGTCCTACCTCAGCTTCGCCATTGTGGCGTGCCCCCGCGAGGTTGCCGAGCCGGTGGCTTTGGCCATGCATCGGGCGGAGGACGGAAGAGTTTCAAGAGTTTCACCCAATTTTTACGGCTTCAGGTGTGTTGGGGCTGACTCTGTGCTCAGAGGCCCTCCTGGCGATCCCGGCAGCGACGGGTCTGTGCTTTAACTACAAGCGCCAGAAGGACTTGAAGCAGCGGCTGCAGGTAAGGCGAACTGGCCATCGTTTACAAGGCGAAGCAGCAGATGATCCTGCCATCCTGTCATCTTCCTTTGAGGTGATGGAGGCAGTAGCCCAAGCTTGCATGGAGGCCTGGTGTGAGTCTGAAGGCTTCCCAACAGAAGCAGCCAGAAGTCACTTTGGAGACTTTTCTTTTGGTGAAAGCCTGCAGCTCGAGGATGATGGAGCGGGTGCAGCTGGAAAGGGTAAGTCTGTCTTGAATCTTTACCATTACTTCAATGAAGAGACATGCCTTGAAGAACCATGCCGCCAACACGCTGATCCTGGGCTAGTCACCGTTCTGTGTCGCAGCAGCACAACAGGACTAGAAGTGCGCTTGCCCCTGAAACCTGGTGGGGCACCAGGGATACATGCCACCTACCAGGAGGAATGGCAAGATGTGGAGGAGGTTATGGATCAATGCGCTCAGGATGCTGGCGCCACGGGGAGGGGAGTGGAGGGTTCGGAGGTGTTTTGCTTCCTTGTTATCGTTGGTGAGACGTTGGAGCGCTTGAGTGCAGGCAGGCACCCGGCCTGTTTGCATCGCGTTGCAAGGCCGAGAAGGACAGCTGCCCAGCCGCGCTTCAACATGGCCTTCGAGCTGCGACCCAGGTGTAACGTCTGGCATCCGTGGCAGCAGGTCCTGGCGACAGGTGCCACTGCTTGACTGCGGTACCCAAAAGTCTTGTACCTTCCAAGGACCTGGACTTGTGCATTCATGGCTTTATTGCGAGACATGCTGAGAGGATACGGAGCTCAATAGCGTTATGGTGCTCTTGGCCAAGGCTGTGGAAGGGCTCCTGTCAGCACATGTGCTTGCGGATGCCTGCGGGCTCAGTGCTTGCGTGCTCTTGTAGCTCGGTGTGCTGCTAGTCAAACCTTTTGATTTTGGAGTTTGCGGTGTGTGCATGTCAAAATCAGAAGTCAATTCGTCTTATTGGGGACGAAGAGATGGTGCGGAAGACGTCTACCTGCGTGGTCCTCGGCCATCTCAGCTTCGGGGGGGGCCCGCGTGTGGAGAAGCCCTCAGCGAATCTTGGCAGCAGTTTGGGATAGCCGTAGGGCCACGAGAAGCATGTCTTGGTATGTGCTGCTATGTTTAGCAGTGTAGCATACACATTATTTTTCCCGGAGCACCTTGCATACGTTACATGTCAGAAGAATACCATGACATCTGCCACTGATGACTCACCTGATTTTTCCAGTATCAGTTCAAGGATTGGCTGCGCCATGTGCTGGCCTCAACATTCAGGGTCTGCCAGCCTCGTCACGATGGGGTAGATGGTTTGAATGCTGACGGTTTTCTTCCATTTTGAGCTCACTGCCTCTTTCTTCCTTTTCGGTTAGCTGTTCCTCCCGGTGGGGTGCCCGTTTCTTCTCTCAGTCCCTGCGTTGCTGGAGCAGCTGTTATTCTCTCACTGAAGGGAAAGGCGGCAGCGGCGTCTGCTGGGCTGCACGCTTCTGGCGGCTGTGCTGGCGCCAGGAGCCCTGAACGTAACGATGGCCTTTTTGCAAGCCAAGAAACTTGGGTTCGCGGGAGTGAGGTTTTGGTCTTGGGCCGGCGCTGCGCTCTCAACTTCTGCAGTGCCTCTGGAACCGAAAGAGTACATGCACTAGCCGCAGTTTGTCCTGAAGAGGTCCGATCTTTCTTGGCTGATAGCTCTTCGGTGCAGCGACTTGTCTACAGTTTTCAATGGAATCGTCCCCATAAACGTCCCGACAAACTCGGGTAGCATCCTGGTCTAAGGACCGCCTTTTCACTTGCGCCTGGGAAGAAGGCGTCCGCAGCACCAGCCTAAGCATTCATGACAGCAGTGTGCAAGATCAAAAGCTGGAGTTGATCAGAACGTGGCAAAACCAAGACGTTGGTTCTCTACGCTTCTTTTTTCAATGAAAAGTAGAACTTACCAGCAACGTGCACGGCAGGAGGCTCTAGCGGTACTGCTGTAAGCCTTGTGCATTTCGCACACAGAGCAGGCCACCCAATTTCGTTTTCGCAGCCTTTCAGTTGAACGGAGTTTGGCTCGAACCTGTAATTTGTGTTTTAGGGCATGGGCCTAAAGATCGTGCTGAGCTTCCTTCATGGAAGTGGTAAATGGTGAGTTCCTGCCCTGCACCAGAACTAGCATGAACACTCTGCCGTACACTGCCTGATTTTCAGTATTGTTGTCACTGGTGTCGTCCTTACTGCCTGCACGAATAATTTGACACTCTTCTTCTCATCATCTTCATGTGCCAGGTAGAAGACGACGCAGATGATGACGATGACCAGCCCCTCAGGAAAGGGCGCCGGGCTTGGTCAACCAGAACAGCGTCAACTTACGAGACGGATGGTTTTTTTGGTTTCTGCACGGGGCAATCCCTTCACTTGCTTTTCTTTCCGTTTACGGTCAGGTTTTTGTATAGGAGGTCAGTCTGTAGTCAGAAGGACGCAAGCTGACTTTGTGAGGCTTCCCAGCCTCCTTAAGGGTTCTTTTGTTTGAAGCTTCTACATTTCGCAAAAGGATTGAGACGGCATTATTTCAACGTTCGTCCGTCGCACTATGGCGTGAGGGCTCACTAGTATGGTTGCAAGAGTTCGGGACATGATGACGGGCTGTGGACACAGCAAAAGAGCCATGTCCCTCGTTACATCCACCCAGGATACCATCTGTTTGGAATGGAAAAGAGCCTCACCACGATAGCCCCGAGAGAAATCAAATGAAATCAAACAGACGGCCCGGAAGGTCCTCAGCCTGCCACAGACTGTGGTAGAGTCGAAAGAGAGCCCTTGAGTAGTAGCGACATTGCAGTTTGCGGGCAATCCTTACATTCCTGCGCCGGCTCCACAAGCCATCCTTTGATCCTGTGCAGACTTCCACGCAACACTTGCAAGCTTTCCTGTTCAAATTGCTTGGTTGGTATCCAAACGCAGACCACAAATGGACTTCAAAGAACAATGGATGATTATGGCCGGAATCTTGCGCTTTAGTGCCAGACGTCTACTTCTCCCGATTCGATTACGATCGAAGCCTGTGTCAGCTCTGAAGGCCCCTCGGATGGCTGCATTACGTGCCCGGGATGCATTTGTCTAATGAGATGTGCCTCCGCCAAGCCCACCCAGCTGTAGAACTAAGTAAGACTATCACAAGGAATCAGGCAATTCCCTGCACATAGCTAGTTACTTACCCGTACAATCTGCAATCTCAGCTTCTGCCCATAAGAATCAAAAGCTGCGTCCTGCTCCACTGGACTGGAAATATGCTCACCGATGCGCATGTCGTAGCTGGCCATGCTGGAGAGATGCTCTGCTAGAGGTAACACATGAGAGGTCTGTGCCGTATTTATATTGGGTCAAAGAAGTTCTTGCAGAGTTGAATTGCCCGAGTGCTTCGTCTCCTGGGGCCAAGCAAGGATGTGATCTTAGCGTCGCGGACATCCTATCCGGTCGCGCTAATGGACCGGAACCCAGGAATGAAATGCCTAGGTACGAGGTAGCCTGTTGGTACTGGTTGTGTTGTGCTCATGGCGAGCCACCACTGCCCTGCTGAGATTGGCTTCTGCTGCTATGGCAACGTGATGTTGCGCTGGGCCCTCGGCAGAGGGTTGTTGACTGCATAAGAAAGCCATGAGACGTCGAACTCCATCAGCAATTCCATCACTGAGTTAAATCCCAGCTCAGCAGGCGACATCACTTCTCAGCAGACCTCTCCGATGCCCTAGGCAGCATGTGAGTTCAGAAGCCGCCTCATGTGATCCTCTCATCGGAAGACATGGACTGTTTTCAATGCTTCATAGATTTTGCTGCCCCGATGTAGACATGTGCGCTCACCCCTAGACCGTAAGCCCTTAAACCCTAAAACCTGCTAGGTTACCCAGGTGAGTCTCACTTGTCGCAGCTCACTGCTGGAGCACTTGGAACTCAGGAAAGGAATGCGGTGACAAGCCTGGAGCTCAGTACTATCAGGGGATATATAGGGATAGTGGGGCAGGAAATGGAAACTACGATGTTGTAATGATTTGATGGGTATCTATGAGATTCTATGGGGGTTATACTGATTGTGATTATAGGGGTCTATATCTTATACTGGAAAATCAAAAAGACAAGAAAATGGAAAATTACATGGACACACGGGTTGTTGTATCATGAAATGAGAATTGTCCAGAAGCAAAGTGGACAGCCTGCACTTTCTTTTGATTCCTCACTGGCTGGTAGGCATCACTCATGACCTGGCTTGTTCCGGCTCTCTGCATGTGACGGTCATTTTTGCCGAGAACACCGCCTGAGAGCGTAGATGGCTCTTCGGCGAGTTCATGGAGTTTCGGAGGTTATGTTTCTACCGGAGTACTGTCCAAATGCGTGTCGGTCGGATGACGATTGTACCACCACATGTTGAAAATATTGAATTCAAGATGCCCTGACTAAGGCCGTACCCATCCTGGCTGTTCGGATGGCTGCTAGGGATGGTCTGCTATACCTATCCAGGCAATCCCCTGCTTAGATTTTGGCCAGGTGGTCTCCCAGTGTGGAACTTGTAGGCCAGCTTCTGTCCACATGGACTGATGCCAGGGAGACAAGACCATTTTCTCTCCTCTCTGCTCTTCATGTTGGGCAATGTGGGTATCGTAGGGTCTTACTGTAGCCATGAATAGCCATGACCAGCCGAAGACCCGGGAGTCGATAAAGGTGCTGTGACTCTGTAGTCTCTGCAGGGGCTGTCTTCTCTGACCTGCTCTTCGTACCGAATGCTCCGCTGCTCCAGCCTGAGGGACATGGGAGCATCCAAGGTTGCTGGGGTACCTACTAGGCCTTTCTCGACAGATGAGAACTTAAAGAAAAGTATGCCCACGTATGACTCGTGTGCGATTCCAGCAGCAAATCTGTGATTAGCTTGTTGTGCTTGACTCTGCAGGCGCGCGCTCACCAATGACAACATTCTCATATGCTTCAGCGTTTGGTATCTGCTGATTCAGAACTCCATGCGGGCAAGACCCTCACTTGCTATTGCAGTGCTCCTCACGTGTTTGCTGTGCCGGGTGCTGCTTCAGACAGGTGTACAAGTTTTTGCAACACAAGCACGCCCGAGACTCAGACCCTGATTTTCCGGGTGGTTTGGGCAAACGGCTGTGTGGAAGTGTGTGGTCTATCAGAATGATTACGAGAAGAGCTTGGCTGAATCACTTGCAGGTTTTCATTTTCCTCACGACCTGGTGGTTAGCAGATGCCACTCGTGCCTCCCTGCTCTTCTTGGAGCGAGCAGTTGCCCATCAGCCGGTGCCAAGCACCCAGCATCTTATGCCGACACACGAACCCCACGCAATATGCAAAGTGTGGTGCTCGTCTACAGCAGCTCTGCTGATTGCTTGCCCAACACGAGAGCTGTACCTCTCCATGGTTGAGAATGCCACATTTGTTGTGCACTGAGGTTTGCACGGGGTGTCTGGCAGGCGCATTGCTGCGAGGGATACAGGTTGAGAGCTTCAGCACCTGAAAGGGTGGCAGGGGGGAGGTTAAAGCTTGAAGGTAAACGGGTCCTCCCCGACGGAAAAGGCTGCCGAAAAGAAGCAGATCAGCAGCATGAGGCCTTTATTTGGTGCGGTGCTGGTCCTGTTGCTCGCCTGGCCAGCATCTCAACCTCTCGTTTCGTGTTCACCTGCCATCATCCAAATCAGTTGTGCCTGATGCCTGAATAAGCTGGAGGTCGAAAAATCGGTCAGGGGCGAGCCGGTACCGGCCCTGGACAAGGCGGGGAAATCAACTTGCAAGTTGTTTGATGCCAGCCAATGCCTTAGGTCCCGGTTGGCAGGTGCAGCCCAACAGCCTGAACATCCTGAAGTTCCCGCTGATTGCAATGTTCTGGAACATGATCTTCTACATGCAGCAGCCTCAGCTCCTGCAAAGGAAGGAAGTAGAGGAAATCTTTGCTCGTGCAGGGTCTGCTTAGCCTACTTCACGGACTGCAAGTTCTTTGATGCAAAGCCAAAGTTGGACATGGTGCAGTGTGCGGCAAAGTATGAGGCCAGAGTCTTGGTGCTTTGTCATGCCTTTACTAACAGTATGCAGACTTTGCGTGGCTGGAGCTTTTCGGAGGACTTCTACGGCTTCTGCACCTACATGCCTTGCCTCTTGCATGTCTGCCGGGCATACTATGCTGCTTGGATGGAAATTTGTCCGAAAGCCCTGTGATGCGCTCTCCCGTCTCCTGTTCATGAAATAAGAGGTGCACTCTGGCATGTGCTCCTGGCCAAAGGTTTAAATGCGCCCCGCTTTCCTTTCCAGTCCCTCTCTGTGATGAATCTGCAGCCCAGGCCATGTATTCTCAGGGTGGACTTGCAGGGCCCCCAGAGGAATTTCTGGCTCACGGATTGGAAGTTTGGCAGGGGGATTTTCTGAAAGGCCAGGAGAAAGTTTGTTTTGAAGCTCGAGAAGCCTGCACATGTTCCTTCGTTCCCTTCAGGTAGTCTTCGGTGACGGTTTCTGCATGGGCAGCGGTGGCTTCATCAAGAAGATGTCGAGCACTCCAAATGTCAACAGGCGCCTCTCTTGATTTGACTTGGATTGCTTGCTGCTAGTGCAGAGCAGCATTTGCTGGGCAACCCTTGTTGACGCAGTCTTCGTGTTTTTCGTGTGCTGGCTGTAGTGACCTGTCGTGCAGGTGAGACGCCCGGACATGTCTGTGGCAGAGCTCGGAAATTCTCTTTCCGGACGTGTCAGCCGCAGGCTAGAGGAACCTTCCCAATGCCTTAAATACGGAATGCTCTGTTGTTATTGGATTTTGTGTTGTAGGACCCCATCGCAGGATTCTGGAGGTTCTTTGCCGATGCAGAATTATGGTCGAAGTTGAGACGTTTAAAAGTCTCCGGTTCCATTTCGCAGTTTGCAGTTTCAAGGCTTTCCGCTGCATTGCGGACGTGCCTTTGCGCTTTCTGGCTTCGCATGGCAGCCGCCGTGCTCCAATACTGCTACTAGGTGCATGCAGTCTGCTGTCAATGATGGCGGGCTTGGAATTCTTGCCTGACAGTGCTATAGTTTGGTGAGGTTTAGCTTTGTATGCCTGACCTTGAAGTAGGTCTCTAGCAGTTGTACTCAACAGCTGTCTACCTGGATACCAGTCTGTGGCAAGACAAGAGGGGGCATTTGCTCTGCTTGCAGTGGCACAGAAGTGCCAAAGCTGGCCACAGTTTGGATGGATTCGCAGCATGCACAGGAAAAAGTGACAGTGAGCTTTCAACACAACCCAAGGCCAGACCTCTCAGAACATTTTCAGGCCTGAGGACTTTGAAGTTCCTGCAAGGAGCAATCCCCAAATCCAGATCCTGTTGGCTGTGGGGTGTATGTACAGAGTGTTTCTGTTAGTCTGACATACACGGATGGGTCGCTGGCAAGGGGAGTCCTTTAAGAATCGCCCGAAGAGAAAATGAATGCACAATTGCTCACTTGAGTAGTATTTTATTTGGGGATTCTATGGTACCCAATATAGAGACAGATTATATCCTCTTTTTGTGTATAGTATTGTATATAAGGAATATTGCCTTAAGGTTCAACCACCCAGAAAAAACATTACTCACTTGGCCAGCTCGCCGCTGCAGAGTCCTTGCCGGAGTTTCTGGAGCCTGTTGCCCAGACCGGGGCTTCAGCATGGAATTCAAAAATCAGGATTGGCAAGGGTTCTTACCGCTGGCAATGTCCCAAGGTGTAGTTTGGTGAGAGCACGAGGTCAAATCGAGCTGCCTTGTGTTTGATAGGTAGCTGCTGAAGCAGCTGATGCTGCAGTAGATGCAGTAAACTGCAAGACCCATCAGAAAGTTGGAACGCGAAAGTTCGAACCTGAAAGTAGCATGAGATAACCAAACAAGAGAACGGATCAGATCCTGTAGCGCCCTGTCACGACCTGGGCTTCAGGCAGCGATACGGCTTCAAGTCCTTCTTGCAGGAGTGGTCTCACCATCTAGGCACCCAAGCTCCCGTGATGATTGCATTGGCCCTTGGCACTACTGCACTCGCATGTGGAGGTGGCTTATTTGCACGTGTACCTTCAACTATCCATCTCTCTCTCCTCTCTCTCTCTCTCTCTCTTTCTCAGTCTAAGCGCCTCACCACTTTTTGTTCTGCATGTACACACTCGTGCAAACACGCACAGACATGAATAGATATATATATATATATGCAGACCCCCCCCCCCAAAGATTCACCGTTTTTAGGGTAAAAGCAAATTTCAAAATAAATTTACTGGGAAACTAGCCAAGGTGGACCTTGAAATGGGATGTATTTACAGATTTTCCTTTTAAATCAAATAATTGAAATAAGTGAAAAATTCACACATTTTTAATTATCTTAAAACTTGTTTTCATTTTTTCCTTCGAAATAATTCAAATTTTTGAAATATTCTGTTTACATTATCTTAATTACTTCAATCATTTGAACTATTTTACTTCTTGGATTTTTAAATAAGGAGGGAACCTGTC